ATATATATATGTATATATATATGTATATAAGTATATATATATATATATATATATATATATACATATATGTATATATACTAAAGAACTCAAATTTATCAATAAAAGAATCATTTAATGGACGTGTGCTTTTATTTTCACATTAAATTGCCAAATGAAATCTTCCTGCAATTGGGTTGATTGACTGACATGAGTTTTGTTTGTATGTGAATGCTCCAAATAAAGTCAGACCCCCTGAAAGGACCAACATGCAACCAAACCGAAAGATTAGAGAGTTCAGGTTTCTGCACAATTTACATAGTTTCCAGTCATTTAGTTTGGTGTACTTGTATGTTTTATCGATTGTGCTCTACTGTGACAGCTGTGTCAATAACAAGTGTGTTTCATCCTAGAAAACCATCATGCAACAACATTTTAATGTCACAACCTAATTGGTGTACACCTCTCAGCTCAATGTCTGTGGTTTCACCTGTGCATTTGAACTTTTACCATCTATAATTTATGAAAGAGCAATATGTATTGAAATGGCATTTAATGAATCAGAAGACGCGTGCAGTCATGTGCACCTGCTATCTGCAATAACCCTCAAATCCCATTCATCTTTGGACATATTCAAACCTGCCATATTATGATCACTTACAAGACACACAAGAACCAATGCATTTGACATCACTGAATTCAAATTTGTTGTGGCATCTCAGCCATTATTTTTCTTTTTTTCAATAGCTTGACGAATGTCATGCCCAGTTGGAGGACAAGGGAAAATGGGAAAGAGGATACATCTGCTTTTGTTGTTATTTGTGTTATATGTTGTGTGGCATTTGTGTTTTATGTTTTAGAGTGTTTATTTATCGCATTATACAAACCCAAGAATTTACTTATCAAAACTAGGTAGACCACTGTGGATGTAAATTGAGCCATCATTTGAAAATATTGAAATATTACACGCATTAAAATAAATGTTATTTTTAGTGCTATCAAACAATTAATCGCGATTAATCGCATCCAAAATAAAAGTTTTACATAATATATATGTGTGTGTACGGTGTATAATTATTATGTATATATAAATACACACACATGCATGTATATATTTAAGAAAAATATGTTTTGTTTATATATAAATTATTTATATTTATATATAATATAAATTATATATGAATATAAATATATAAATATTTTTAAAATATATATTTATGCACTTGTGTATTTATTTATAGCTACATAATAAATTTACACAGTACACACACATATATTATGTAAACAAACACTATTTTGGATGTGATTTATCGCGATTAATCGTTTTTATGATGTAAATATAGCTGAACATTAAACTAACATCCCCCCACTAACTGTCTCAGCCATGTCCAAAAATTACTTTTAAAAAGCATCCCAAAATTTGTCCCTTTAGGCTTCCCATAATGTCACTGATTCGTCGATTATTTCACCTTAGCAGACAGTTTAAATGAGTAAACTAGGAAAACACCGTCGATAGATTTAGGCCTACCAAAGTTTAAAAACGTAACGGCTTTGTGTCTTAATTTAAAAAACAAAACAAAAAAAAGTGGTCAGTCTGTCTTAAACCGAGTTATTTCCAGATGTTTTAAGAACATATTATTTTATAGACATAACTCTGATAGCAATCTATGTATAGTACACATTGTTATCAGAGTTTTGTCTATGAGATATAATATATATATATATATATATATATATACATATATGTATATATACTAAAGAACTCAAATTTATCAATAAAAGAATCATTTAATGGACGTGTGCTTTTATTTTCACATTAAATTGCCAAATGAAATCTTCCTGCAATTGGGTTGATTGACTGACATGAGTTTTGTTTGTATGTGAATGCTCCAAATAAAGTCAGACCCCCTGAAAGGACCAACATGCAACCAAACCGAAAGATTAGAGAGTTCAGGTTTCTGCACAATTTACATAGTTTCCAGTCATTTAGTTTGGTGTACTTGTATGTTTTATCGATTGTGCTCTACTGTGACAGCTGTGTCAATAACAAGTGTGTTTCATCCTAGAAAACCATCATGCAACAACATTTTAATGTCACAACCTAATTGGTGTACACCTCTCAGCTCAATGTCTGTGGTTTCACCTGTGCATTTGAACTTTTACCATCTATAATTTATGAAAGAGCAATATGTATTGAAATGGCATTTAATGAATCAGAAGACGCGTGCAGTCATGTGCACCTGCTATCTGCAATAACCCTCAAATCCCATTCATCTTTGGACATATTCAAACCTGCCATATTATGATCACTTACAAGACACACAAGAACCAATGCATTTGACATCACTGAATTCAAATTTGTTGTGGCATCTCAGCCATTATTTTTCTTTTTTTCAATAGCTTGACGAATGTCATGCCCAGTTGGAGGACAAGGGAAAATGGGAAAGAGGATACATCTGCTTTTGTTGTTATTTGTGTTATATGTTGTGTGGCATTTGTGTTTTATGTTTTAGAGTGTTTATTTATCGCATTATACAAACCCAAGAATTTACTTATCAAAACTAGGTAGACCACTGTGGATGTGTCGCATCCAAAATAAAAGTTTTACATAATATATATGTGTGTGTACGGTGTATAATTATTATGTATATATAAATACACACACATGCATGTATATATT